AAGACATGTATTTTCCATGTTAGTTGTCCTTAAGGCTGACATGTTCCATAGTTGACTCTTGCTCTTAGCCATCTTAATGAGGTTTCCTCGAGACAAAAATATTTATAGAATAATATAGGATGAAAAGGTTCTTGCTCCAATAAAGTTTTATGATTTTTGTGCTTCTGGTTTGGAAGCTACAAACACAATGAAGGAAGATTGTCCAGATTTTCAAACAGATTGTGTTCTTTGACTTGAGTTGAAGTTTGAGGCTACTTAATAAAAAGACAAAATTAATATCCTTGATAAAGTTGTGCTAACTCACTTTTGAAGTTTCCAGAAAAATTATTTATTTGAAACATTGATTCTATAGATTATTTATATGTATAGCAGATGAGAGAAACAATCACACTTTTTACCATCAAAGTGAAGATTTCAAATCATCCATATATATGTCAGATAAAAAGATACATTGTACATTGCCAGGGAGAGAAATCAACTCTAGATGCCTACAACATTTGTCATACATTCAACTCCAAAGTTGCAGACTTGACATTTAGTGTAACAAGACTTGTCATATAGTCTATCTAACTTTACGAAATCAGCAATCATTCCATCTTCTCCAGTCGTTTCAACGACAGTTGTGTACTTGAGGTCTTTCGTCTAGGAGACGGACGGTGGAGCCTTGTTTCTGCCCGGCGAGGAAGCCTCCCATTTGTCCTTCTGTCGCCGAGGCTCCCGCCCCTTCGTAAGGCATCGTCGATGTCAAAGATGGCCACCCTGCTTGGATTATATATGCTTCCATCCTTTAGCCAAGAGTAGAATCTTGAGAAACATTTTATTTGTTGGCCTCGAGCTCACCGTGATTCATTCGGAAGATGTCTTTCCAGCCATGCTTAAACATCTGGTCACTCTAGTCAAGGTTTTCCTAAAATTGACTTTCTACAGGGCAAAAGAAAAGAAAATGTCAGTGAAATAAAAATCCAATCCTCAAAACTGTAACATGCTAAGAAACCAGGGGGTCCATAATATTGTCAATTTTAGTTGTTGCAAAGAAACACATTCTATACTTTTGCCATCTACTTTGCCCTAAGCTGAAATGTACTCTGATATTTTTCTTTATCTATGCAAACCATCGAATCAACATGCTGCTTTTGTCCATGCAAACTGCAATGTTGTAAATTCTACACAAAAGGTTCCTGTTTACAGAACTCAATAGAATTGAGATCATGGACAATTATCTATTGCTTGTATTTTAACCATACTTCATGGTTATCTGAAAATGCATCTATAATCGCTCTCTTTTTATTATACAATTAAAAATGCAGTATTTTTCTGAAGGCCTGATTCCACTACACCAACATGTATGCTGATTTGTTGCTTACTATTGGAATCACGGGAAGTTCCTCACATGTATATGTTTTATCACCTAAAAAATGTACATGTTAATTAATCAATATTTACCTACCACCGCGTCAGGGGCAGTGGCTGTCTCCTTGACCCAACACTATACAACAACTGGAGTTCATCAGCAAGAATAATAGAAGTACAACAGGAACACAAATCAACGAACCAACCCCAGACATGGACAAATCAATTGCATCGCACCCAAATGAATCTCGAAAAGATCAGCGGGCAAGCCAAAGGGAGAAGGAACTCAAAGCCGCATCTGTGTCGTGTGGCCGGCCGCTCTCGCTCTACACCGTGGCTGACGAGGGGGCGGGGCGGAAGAGGTGACTGCGGAAGCGGACGAGGAGGCCGGCGGCGGACGCGGAGGCGATTGCAGCGGCGGCGGATGAACGGAGCGAGCGACTGGGAGAAGAACGGAAAGGAGCGCCTGAGCCGACTCATCTGCGTGGCCAGTGGTCACATCGTCCAGGAGCCGAGATAGTATTGATTGGAGCCGAGCGTCAGCGCGCGAGCCGAGGGGAACACATGGAGCCGGTGAGAGGAGGGATACCGTGGGATGTTGGGAACGTACAGGTGTCAGCAGATCCGATCGGGTACGCACGGGAGGAGGCCTGCACACGGTCTCCACCGATTTTTTTTCCATAAAAACCGAGGGCTTTTTTGTAAAAAGAGCCTGCCACCATCCTCATTCACCATGCAATCATTGACGGTGGGCCGTAAGCCACGCTGGCTTGCCTTGTCATCGGTCCCGATGTATACAAATGTGATTAGCACCGTATTTGCACCCCCAAACCAAGTTCTTGCACCACTTTGGTGTACACCATAAGTTCTACTTAATACTAAAGTGATCATTTACGTCAAATTCTAACACCACCGGTGTAATTGACTCAATGAAAAAAAAATCTCAACCAACACGAAAACCGGTAGGGGAATGTATCCAGTGCACCCCACCCTTGTGGTGCTACCCGGTGCCGGATGCCATAGAGCGTTTTAAAAAATATGAAAAGACTCTAGCCCATGTGTAGAATGTTCTTTTGAGTGAATAAACTGCGCAGATATGCTTCTTTTTGTTGAGCTAAGACGATTTGATTGCCCGTGAGCACACAGGGCTCACTCATTCCTCATCCAGAGCCTACTCTTGATTAGGACAACGGACAACGGACGCCCGTGCTTTGATATTTAAGCTCCCGTGCTCGGACGTAGGAGCTAAACTAGCCTGCACATGCTTGCTTGCCGGAATAATGATGAGTAGGTAAATTGGACAACACTATTTATTTGGGTATTAAATAGGGTGAGGTACTGTTTGCACTCCTGTTTCGCCTTTTACTTGTACAAAAATGTGTATTTATTTGAGTAATTTTTTAGGTGGTGCGCTCATTTTAGCTGAAAATGCCCGCCCTTTCGAGCACACTAAACCCTCCTCCGGTTGTCTTAAAATGCACGACCTTTTTTGACACTATGAGGCAACACCCGCAAAAAATCCAACCCTTCAGGATTGTTGATCTCAATCGATCAATGGTAGTCATGTCTACTTTAGAAATGAGAGAAATCATGCAATCTGTATTTAGCCTCCCGAGGGAATGTTGGTCACAACGCCACACGGGCATAGAGTGCCAGATTGAATTGCTCGAGAGTCTCTTCAAAGGTGCCGGTGAGCTAAAGAAAGGCCGCATTGCGTGTTTTGAACCACATTAGTTCCTCTTCACTGAATATAATGGACATGTGAATTATTATTTTTATGTTAGACACTCAAAATAAGTGTAAAAATAATGCACCGAGTGTGTTTGTCGGTGATGGTTCCTCCCTCCGTGTTTGAAGTGGCCGACGGATACCGTAGTCAAATACTCCATCCATCTAGAAATAGTTGTCGGAGAAATGGGTCTATCTAATACGTATTTTCGAACATCCATTTTTATCCATTTCTCAACAACTATTTTCGGACGGAGCCTGTATATGGATGTGGATAAAAAAGATCGTTCTAGGGACTGCGATTGAATTTTACTCCTTTTAAGGCCATAGAAAAGATTGTTTACCCAATACCCATAATTTGAAGCTGTGATTGCTTTAACAGTCCTTAGTATTACACACTCACCACTGGTGACCACCAGTGTATCACCATGTGTGTTGAAAAGCGAGTAGTACGTGACAAGTGTCACGAGCGCTCCCAACTGTGCCACACCTACACGCCGTAGCACAACCGGGCTAGAGGAACGGACGGTCGAGATCGCCGTGCCGCTTCTCCACTCCTCCTACTATAAACCTCACGACCGAGTCACCGACAAAGCCAAGACCGGCTGCTCGATGGGCGCGATGAGCGGCGCCATGGAGTGGCACGCGTGGCTGTCGTCGGCGCGGCTGGAGCCGGCGCTGGTGCACGAGTACGCGCTGGTGCTGGCGCGCAACGAGCTGGAGGCCGGCGACGCCGCCTACTTCGACCACGACTTCCTCCGCAGCATGGGCATCGACGTCGCCAAGCACCGCCTCGAGATCCTCAAGCTCGCGCGCCCCGGCCCCGGCCCCGCCCCCGGAGAGCGGGGCCGCCGTGGTACGTCCTCCTCCGCCGCGTCGCTCTCGGGCCTCGTGGCCGCCGTCGGCCGCGCCGCCAGGTACGTGCGCGCGCTCGTCCGCCTCCGCGGGGAGCCGTCGTCGTCGTCCACGGCGCTCGTGCTGGTCCCGAGCCAGCAGCAGCCGGACGGCCACGTCGACGTGGGCCGCTCGAGCTTCGGCCACTGCAAGGCGCCGAAGCGGACCAGGTCCATGCCCAAGGCGCCAGGTACGACGTGCGCGCGCTCGTCCGCGGCGAGGGCCACGCGCCCGGCCGGCGGGTGCAGGGGCGCCGCGACGGTGCACGCCATGAGGGACGCCGAGAGCGGCGGCGGCGGCGACGAGACGGTCCAGTGGGAATGCCTGTTCCAGGACCTCAACCCCAACTGATCCATGCCGGGAACGACCAAGCGATTGCTTATGCATGGTGTACGTACCAGCCATTGTTTGTGGCTGCTGCCTTGTACGTGCGCTCGCCGCCAGGACGTTGCCGTAAACATCCTCTGAATAAATGCGGCGGCAGATCTGTCTAAGCATGCCCTGTAATGTAAGCATGGCGACCTCTGTGCTCTGTGTGATTCTTATGGCAACTCTCTGTTCTTCCTTCCGTGGTAGTATTGCAGAGCAGAAGCAGATGTTCTTTTTGACATTTGTTCGCACTCTGTTTCAAACCTGATGCTGCTTTTTGACTGTTTCAATCGTCATTCTTGGTAGTATTCCAAAATGCAGAGCAGAAGTAGTGTTCTCTTTTCGAAATCGTGGAATCATAAAGCTGGAAGTAGCTGATTGACTCTGCTGTTGTGGTTACTCACAGCCGTAATTGGCTCGATCGTTTGGTTGGATCGATCAGGACGAGCGTTCTACCTTTCCTGATCGGTAGACATTGACAAAGAGCAGCACAGTAAATGTGTACATCACCGTAGAAACCAGAAACGAAGGAGCAACTGCTCAAAAAGCAACAGGTCGGGATTTTGCTGGAGATTTTCAACTCCATGGCCATGGAACTTTGAAAGTGTTTCAGTTGAGGGTTCTGCCTGACAGTCGAGAGAAGAGCACTCTGAACCTAACCTGGTAACTTGCTCAGTAAACCACAGCTGTTGTACTTGTACGAGATAACTGCGGAGGAAACTTTTGTGGAGACGATTCCAACCTAGCAACCGTACGCCAATTCATATCCATTAAGATGGATAGTACCAGCACTATGGCAGTGTAACTTCGTTTTGTCCCAGATGACACATGCGTGTCGGATAGCAGGTCAAGGGACGTTATGACAGTTATGAACCTCAGCCCATATCAGTGAACTGAAAAACTAACTGGACTACAGAATATGCTTCAGCAAGAAAAAAGTGGCGCAGCAATGAACCTGACAGTGAAACATATGTTCATGATATACCCCACAATCCACATTCTTGTTATTGCCCATTAGACCATGAATAATTCTTTCTACTAAAGTCATAAATATTCGTTTTGCGAAATAGAGTATTGTTTGACACCCAAGATCAAAGATCAAGGGGGGAAGAGAATTTAGGACTTATCGTCAAAAATATTGCCTTGCATGGCAAAATAGTTTTATAAGCTTGTCAGGGAGCGGAGCAGCGGATCGGTGTAGCCGAGCATTTGACGATGTTCGTCAGGTCTGACGTTAGTCTCAAAGACCCGGAGAAGCTCTTTAATGGTTGTGATGTCGTGTTGATCCGGGTGGCACAAGATGACCTTGTTGTCGGCATTTTTCGATAAAGGATGTCTTTTATGGATTCATAATGAAGCATCAAGGGGATACAAATATAATGAGCACACACAGCCTCTGCATAACTAGGATGCACACAGCCAACAACAACGCACACACACAAAAAACCCCGTGGGCAAAAAGCAAAGTCATAGAAGATCAAAGATATGCCATGTGGAGGAAGAAAAAGAAAAAAAACTGAAGCGATCAAAACAACAATCAACGATATACAACGACGACTATCAGCACAAACAATCCCTTGACAACATAAGGACTATCAGAAAAGTTCTTCAAAAGCAATGCCTCCAGGAAGGGAACGGCGTGCAAACGCCGTCATCGCCGGATCCAACCACCACCGAATCATCGGGTTTTACCCTGAAGATCTAGTCCGAGAAACCTCCGAACAATGCCTCAACAGGTAAAGGCGCAAAAAATACCATCATTATCAGGTACAACCAACTAGGGTCATACCTAGGGTTTTCACCCTGGAGATCGAGACTAGATGCTCAAGTAGCACCACTCAATCGAAATCATCTTATGTCAATCTCCTCCGCTTGCCACGGTCTCAGTGGCACAGTGGCAGCTTACACGCACGGTCCTAGACGGCACAAAAAGGCACTAAACAGCGAAAGCTCGTTGTCGCACACGCGACAAATTCTTTGACGAGAGAGGAGGATCACGAGAACCGCCAAAATCCTGAGTTTGGGACACTTCGACAGTCTCGAACCATCCTCACAAGTGGCATGTGATGGCCGATCTACACGAGACGACGCCATCACATGCCGCCACTAGCTCCGTCGTCTTTGCCTTTGGCAGCAGATCATCCTGAGGGGAGGACACGAACGCCGCCGTGCATCGCCTCTAGCCCTCCGACGAATGCGTCCAGCCAATGTCCCGCTGGCTGCGAGGGTGGCGGTCGCAACATCTACTGCAAGGCCACCACCACATCCCTTCACACCCTGATGCTGAAGATGTGCCACAAGAGCAACGCCGGCCCTGGAAGGTGGCTCTTCAGATTAGGGACCTGGATCATGGTGGCCGCAGGTCCTGCTGATTGTACTCCTCTGCGTCTGGTTGGCGCAGCCGTTGCTTCCACTGCTTGGTGAAGCCGCATCATGCCAACGCTACCAGGGAGAGTAGAAGCCTGCTGCATAGAGGCCGCCGCATCCACTGCCTTGAATCACCGTCGGAACATCGCCATCTGCGTCCAATCGGCCACAGGGATGGAGCCTCGCTGCCGCCGGCAGCTGCGCGAGCAAGCTCGGTGTCGGCATAGAGGGAGATACTCGAAGCCGCATGACGGGCGGTGAGACGGTGAATCGGTCCACCGCACGTTGGATCCGAGAGTTGAGGACGTTGATGGCGAGCACGTGGGAAGTTTGATGAAGCGTCTCAACACCCATACATGGGTGCTCGCAGGCTATATATTGATAGATCGAGACTTTGTGTCTCGTAGGATTACAAGGGCCAGGTTGTTGAACCGTAGGGAGGATTACATGGAGAGATAGAGAGATAGAAAGATCAATGAAACATATCATATCTCTAACTACTCCTAATCCTATACGCGAGGCACAAGCACAAGGCTGTCACCGTGTCACGTATACATAATATTTCACACAAACCCCCTTAATCACGACTGCACTAAGTAGAGATTACGTCAAAATTCTTCAAAGCTTCTAGTAGGTAATGCCTTTTTAAAACCATCCGCAAGTAGATCCTTTGAGGGAATAAATCTGACCTGTAACCATTTGTTTGCAACTCGTTATCTGGTAAAGTGAAATCTCAATATGTTTGGTCCTCGCATGAAAAACTAGATTGGCAGAAAGATACATTGCACCAAAGTTGTCACACCAGACTTCTGGAATTGTAAGTGCCTTTAACATAGACTGGATCCAAATGACTTTAATTGTTGCATTGGCCAGTGTTTTATATTTTGCTTATGTACTTGACCTGGAAACTATTGCATGTTTCTTTGCACACCATGATACTAAATTTGATCCATGGAATATAGCAAAGCCACCAGTGGACCTTCTATCATCTAAGCAACCAACCCAATCCGCATCAAAGAATGCACTTATAAGAGTAGACGATGATTTTCTGAATGTGAGACCAATAGTCAGTGTATTCTTCACATACCCCAAGATTTGCTTGGCTGCTGTCCAATGGGATGTAGTGTGTGCATGAAGAAACTGACAAACTTTGTTAACTGCAAAGGAAATGTCAGGTCGAGTGAGTGTCAAATACTGAAGGCCACCAACTACGCTTCTGTAACTCGTGATGTCCTCCTTGTTCAGAAGTTCTCCTTCTGTCAAAGATAGAGGTTCCGAACTGGATAAAGGTATTGGTGAAGATTCACAGTTTTGTATGCCAATCTGGTTCAACAACTTAGTTGCTTATCTAGCTTGAGATAAATGAAGACCATCACTATTTTTCTTAACCTCAGTACCCAAAAAGAAATGCAAGTCTCCCAAATCCTTAAGAGAAAACTCAGAGCCTAAATTCTTGAGCAACTTTGTCACATCATCATTAGATAAGCTATTAACAATAATATCATCAACATATATGAGAAAAAACATGGACATTTGTAGTTTGGTGTAGATGAACAGTGAGCTATCAGATTTTGATGGAACAAACCCAAGTGGTTGTAGCTTCACACTTAGTCTTGGGTACCATGCTCTAGGGGCCTACTTTAAACCATACAAAGCTTTATCAAGCTTGCATACATTAAATGGCTTGTTTTTATCTTCAAACCCAGGATGTTGTTTCATATACACCTCTTCTTCCAGAACACCATGAAGAACACACATTCTGTATTGACAAGAGCGGGTCGCCCTAACGGAGGCTCCTGGCATTGGAGATTGGGGGAGGCAAGCATGCGAGTAGACGTCGTGGCATGAAGGATGGAGATCCATTCACGCCAACATGGGCCGAAGCCGAGATGGCCGAGAATCACAATGAGGAACGGCCACGAGACCAAGTCAACGCCCTGGCGGTGTCAAGCTTGAGCATAATGTAGTGGACTTTGAGGTTATGGAGGAGGCACGTGGTCTCCTGCATGAGCAATAATTTCTCGTGGATGCTACGCCCGGGGATGAAGGCACTTTGGTTCATGGAGACCATGGGGCCAAAATGTGGTGTGAGTTGGTGTGAGAGAGCTTTAGCGAACAACTTCACAAGGAGGTCGATTAGACTAATGGGACGAAAGTCGCAGGGGGTCTCGTCATCGGCGGGCATAAGAAGCAATGTGATGAATTCCCCGTTAAGCTTCTAGAAACATCGCGCTTTTAGGGTGTAACGCCCCGAGACCGATGTGCCAGGTGTCCGCCAGTTATTCGCTGTTGTTGCCTTGTCATTGCTTGCGTGTCATGCATTGCATATCATGTCATCATGTGCATTTCATTTGCATACGTGTTCGTCTCATGCATCCGAGCATTTTCCCCGTTGTTCGTTTTGCATTCCGGCGCTCCTATCTCCTCCGGTGGTCATTTCTACCTTTCTTTCGTGTGTGGGGATTAAACATTTCCGGATTGGACCGAGACTTGCCAAGTGGCCTTGGTTTACTACCGGTAGACCGCCTGCCAAGTTTCCTACCATTTGGACTTCGTTTGATACACCAACGGTTACCCGAGGGACCGAAAAGGCCTCGTGTGTGTTGCAGCCCAAC